CCCTGCATATATATATATATATATATATATATATATATATATATATATATATATATATATGAGTCATTAATCTACAAATTGTTATATTTAATACATTCATAATTTTATGCTGATTTATAATATTCAAATAAATGATTATTTACTATTTTCTATTAATAGATTTATATATTACTTTATTTTCATAAAGAGATTGTTTGCTCATTAATTGGAATATTCACTTTATGTCACAAATTGGAATAAAACTAAACTATCAAGTCTGTCAAATAGTACATTAGCCAATTTTGGAATAATCTGATAATATATTCAGGCGTAAACATTATCATGAAAATAATATCATACATTTTTCTTCACTAAGAGAAATTATTTGATAAAAAATTAACAAACGAATATTTGCGATCATAATACCGATGAATTTTTATATTCGATTAAGAAACATCCGATGAAAAATATCGAAAAAAACATTGGTTTAATATTTACGCCTGAATATATTATTAGATTATTCCAAAACTGGCTAATGTATCACTTGAAGACTTAAAAGTTTAATTTTGTTCCAATTCGGTTTATAATTACCGAAAAAAATCGGTTTATAATTTTCTGATCGGCTTATCTAATAAGTTGTTTTTCTGATCGGCTTATCTAATAAGTTGTTATTATGATCGGATATTAGGTTAAATTTAATCGAATATCCTCGAATCGGATATAAAAATTGATTGGAATTGGATCGAAAATATCTGTTTGTTAATTTTTTTCTGGATAATTTTTCTCAGTGTGCGATTTAAGCCACTTTGCTGGGGCTTAACTGTTTATTTACAGTTCGTTATATCTGTAGAAAAAGCCGAACTGTCAACACTTCACGTGATACACTTCTAAACATTGTACCTGTGTTCTCAAGACAATTCGGATCAACATTTATATTATAAACGATTACATTTGTTAGATGTCGAATTTCGTGCGTTCGTTCTAAAGTAATTTAACAAAAGAGAAGCAATCTTAAATATCTGTTACATGATTATTATTATTTTGGAAATAATGGAGGGACGTAAATTGTCTTGTTTGTTTCAAATTGAAAGTTACAACAGCTTTTTCCATCCGAACGTTTGTCACATTTGTAAGCACACGGAGGATTTAACGGAATGTCCTTCGTGCCGCATGATCTCTTACTGCGGCGAGGACCACATGATGTTACATCGAAAGAAACACAAAAAGATCTGTCAGGCTATAGTAGAACTAACGACGGAAAAAAATATATTTAACAGTCGTTATATGTTGCTGGAAAATTGGCTCAACTTTAAGAAAGAGAATATGGAGTCCATTAGGCGAATACTAGAACGTGACTTGAGGCAGTGCGAAAAGCAAATGTTCTTGCGCGCAAAATCGTGTATTGTTTGTCGCGTACAGAGGAATCTGTCCGCTTGCGAGATCTGTATGTCTATCTACGTGTGTCCTAATCACGAATTAATTAAAGATCATCCATGTTTTGAGCTACGGCTGTCTTTAAGTCTGGATTGGTACTCTATCAACGAATCTATCTACTATTCTGCGAATAACCGAAAGATTTCGGCGGAATATTTGAATTTCGACAGAAAGGTTGTTCATGACATGAAAACATTTATTCGATATTCTTCTTTAACCATTGGACCGCAATATACATGGAGTCCCGAAGACTACATTCTTACTGATGTTTTCACGCAGCCATTAACATTGTACTATGGGATGCTACAAGCGCAATTATTTGACTGTGTGATAAAAGACAGCCAAAACGTCGTCATTCATCTTTTGCTCGGACAGTATATTATCTCAAACACTTTAGCAGGTTGGGAGATAATTTTACATGAAATGTCTGAAAATTCAAACCTTATAATTATATCAATAGGGCCGGAATTATGGGAACGTACTTATGACTACGATCTTTGTCCAGCTTGTCGTAGCAAGTTTAAGAAATTATTATCTGATTACTGGTGTATGTCGTATTCCGATTATATAAAAAGTTCTTATTATGTAAAACCTAACATAGTTGTAGGATATAACATGGAACTTCTGGATCAGGAAGCACTAAAAACAATTTTACTTACTATTCAAAGTCACAATTGTCCACTACTTTTAACGGCTAAGTCGAAAAGTAAAGCAGATAGTAATGTAACTTTGATAAAGGGATTACTGGGACCACTAATCAATCCTGTTGTTCATGACAAAAATAAATTCGGATCCCTTAGACCGCATAGAGATGATGAGAGTGACTTCGTATTTTATTGTAATCAGTATTTGACTATTTATCTAGATTTGAATAATTAATGATTCAAAAGAAAGTAGTAGCAGTGTTTATATAACTATTTGTATTATTACATAATTTCTTTGGTAGTATTATGTATTGTATACGTGCACATGTACATATAACAGGCCAATTATATTCTTTTTAAAAACTAAGTGCATTTCAATAAAGTATGATTTTAAAAAAATATTAATGCAATATTTTTTTCAGAGAATATTATCATTGATTCACGTATGACATCAAATATATAATAATAAATGTGACACGATCACGTACTTATATTTCATTTGTTCTTTTGTGTAATGCATAACGAGAGTGCTTAGCACTTGGTATTTTTATTCCTAAATCAATTCCTTTTGATTTATTGGATAAAAAAAAGTTAAAAAATTCGTCATACCCTTCTTTTTTGGAAATTAAAGATATATGTCTAAATATTATTATTTACCGTGTTATATATCGTATTGGACTTTCAATGACACGTCATTCTGATTATTTAATTATGACACAGCTCTAATTACTTAATTTTTGATTATTTAATTATTGATTATTTGAATTTTTGATTATTTAATTATAATACAGCTTTGATTATTTTATTTTTACTTAAATTCTTGCGCAATTTAGAAGGACATTACTGCGGTATCTCGATGTATTAATTTAGAGCTCGGCACGCGTTGCACATTTCAAGTCGATTGATTTTCGACTTGCTCCGATATTCTCCTTACTTCATCTTCTCGCGCAACTTACGAGCCGCTCAAGATTCAAGAGCGTATGACTCGCAGACACATGTTTATAACTAAACTTCCCGCTATTGGAAATATATGTTTACAAGTCATACTTTTTTGAATCTCGAGGGACTCGTATGTTGCGCGCGGGGCGATGAGGTAACGGAGCAAGTCGAAAATCGATCGCAATGTACAACGCAATCGACATCTACATTAATTTATTGCTTTTATCTTTATCATACACATTCTTCACTTTTTAATATGTAA